AAGAGCGTCTCTGTAGTCTGGTGGAGACCCTTTACATATGGGGTGATCGTACTTCTTCCTACAGCCTTCCTACCTACACAATGAAGGGGAAGGAGTGTTTTCCTTCTTACTTCCCTGTGTGCTAGGGCTCTGCTGTAAGTCAGGCTTGCATGACTTGCGAGTGTGAATTCCTAAAGCAGCCCTGCGCTGGGGGGAAGTAAATTTCCTTACCTATAAACACCGTTTAAGTCTGAGTTAGAGATACTCTAATAACTCTGTATTTAAAAACAAAAAATCAACCATGAATGTTTGTAACTTTTGAATTGCACTTTAATACAGGAGCGTTGATACCTTTAGCTGCCTGTTTGCTGGTGTGTGTGTGTTGTGTTGACCTTCATTCCTGCCTACTGCACAGAAGGCTGGAACAAACAGCAACCACTGGTGGTGGTCTCTTAGGTGGGCTGTGGGCCAGTCCTCTCTCCTGGGTGCATGGCTAAGCTGGATCTGGAATCAAGTAACTGGGAGGAGAGAAGAAGGTAGGGCTCATCCTCTTGCTGCCTGGGGAGGGTGGAAGGCTGGTTTGTGCCTTTGCTCTCGCCCAGATATCCAGAACTGCCATGTGTTCGTGTCCTTGGGGCAGGCACAACGCTACATTTGGCAAGGGCAGTGCCTCCACCCTGCCACTCACCAAGGCTGTATTCTTAGCAGCTTTCCTGTGTGTATTTACATTTACTGCCTATCTTTAGGCAGTAGGGAGGCCTGTCTTTAAGAGGAACTCTAGCCAATTTTTTTTCCAGTGAAGGAAAAACAAATATATGGTAAAGGAAAATGGCACCTAACTGGGAACTGTAAAATCTCAGTTTCCCCTTGTGCCAAGGAAAGCTGGTGCCCTGCTGAAAAAAGCTGAACATGGTGTAACTACTGAAAAGCAGTTTTCTTCTCTGCATCAGCCCAGCCTCTGACAGGGAAACCAGTTCTAAGCATAGTTGTTCCTCTTTTGAGGTACTGACCCTGTAATCCTACATTAACCAAGTAGCTATAGCTAGCAACACTGAATAAACATGAAACAGAGCCTGTGACCTGCTTCCCTTTTATTTCAGTTAATTTGTCTCAATTACTCCCCAAGAACAAAGCCAGCTCCTGTATACGGACATGAAGTGCATTTGTCCTTTCCTGTTAGCACTGCAAGCATCATGTTTGGCATCTTGCTGCTGCACTCAAAGTTTCTGGAAGTGGCCAGAATCAGCCATTTGGTCCTGCAGAAACCAGCGTGGGCAACCACTCCTCCTTCATCATCTGAACAGAACAGGGAAACTTTTATTTTTTTGGGGGGGCTGCCCTTGGCAGGAGGAGGAGCAGCCTTTCCCTGGGAAGCCCTTGGGTGTTCAGCCCACTGGAAGAGGGCCTGAGCCCCCTTTTAGCAGGAATTTCCTGCTAGTGCAGCTTGCAGCTCAGAGGCACCTCTGACCATCTCCCTACTCAAAAGACCTCAACTGAGCATCAGCATCTTCCCGATACCACTTGTGCACAACACGCTACAGCTCTGCAGTTTTTGGTGCTGTACCACAGCAAGCTGTGGGGGCTGTGCATGGCCAATTCAGATTTTTGCTCCCCTCTGCTGTGAACTGATACCAGAGGGGCTTTAATCCAATGCTAGCATGTAGTGCTGGCCTCCAGGATCCTGGCAGCAGGACCAAGCCTGCAAGCAAAGCCTCTCTGTGCCGGACCATCACTCCTCCAGGAGCTTTTGGTCCTGGGGAGGGTATGTGGCAAGGGTGCCGCCCTATTGACAGCCCCTTTTTCTAAGCCAAGCTGATTATAGCAGAGGACAGAAGGTGGTGAGGTCTGATCCTTGAGGCTAACGCCATCACGCATGGCAGAAGGTCAGCACCTTAGAAGATACTAAAGCATCCAAGGCCTTTCTACAGGCATAGGTCGAACAGCCCCTGCAGCAGTTGGTGATGCTCAGTTCAAAGCAGTGAAGTGCTCAGGTGCCAGAGCTGACAAACTCCAACAGTGGCTGGACTCTGCTCGTATGGCATCTTCCACAGGAGGATCTCAAAGAGCTTTGCAATCATCGAGGAATCACACTCTGCACACTCTTAGGAGATGGGTAACAAGAATTCCTGATTTACGCAGACTGAGTAGACAACATCAAGCTTGTACCGGAGGAATGACCTGACGGCCACTCCCCAGCACTGCTGGGCACACCAGCAAAAGGCACTTGTGCAGTGAAGAACCGCATGCCCCAGGGTCTCGCGGCTCAGCCCAGCACTGACCCACACCCCCATCTGCTGAGCTTCGTCACAGGAGGACCGGGTGGAAACCCTCGCCGGGGGCTTGCTGTCTGACAACGTGCCAATGCTGCGCCGGGAGCGCCGTGGGATAGAGGTACCACATCACCACCCCCGAGGGGTTAATAACGACCGAGAAGTTGTCTCCTGTCTTTAAGCCGCTGATGGTCTTCCCGCTGTACACATCTTGTACCTGGAAGAGAGAGATGGTGGCTGCCAGGATTTCCACAGACCCTTCATCTTGAGGTCCAGCCATGGTCACAGAGACGGCATGGTGGGATGGGGCACAGCAGCGGGCAACAGGAGGGCAACCCAAGGGGCAGCTGCCCCTTCATCCTGGAGGCAGGGAGTGGGAGTCCTCCCCCCCCCCCCCAAAAAGAACAAAGGGGCACCCCCGAAAATGCACAAGGTGCCAACAGGGGAAGCTGGAAAAAGGGAGATCCAGGTGCCGTGGGGCTGCCCTGCCATGCAGTGTGCCAGTGGGGCTCACCTCATACACAGCGTCCTCGGGGAAGTGGAGCTTGGCCAGGCTGGTGGTGTAGAGGAAGGGCATATCTGTCCTCCGGCTGAAGAAGACAAGGGCGCTGGCGGCCTGGGACAGCGGGCGCAAGAACACCTCTATGTGGGATTTCTCCTGAGGGTGGGGATGGGTGGGTGAGGCAGAGCTGCTGGGACCAGCGCTGGCCCATAACTTCTGACCTTGCCCTGCGTGGCTGCTATGCCAGCAGGTCCCCAGCTCCCACAGCTCTCCTGCTCATGTTTCTCTGCATCGCCTCCCTCTCTCTCCTTATTGTGACCCGCTGTGCTGCTCCCGTCTGCTCTCCCAAACACGTCCACCTTCCCCCTAACCTTGACAATCCTGCGCCCCTGGATTCCCAGGGGGTCCTGGTTGATCTGGATCATCAGGCGGTTCTGCAGGATCTCCTTGGCGCTCGGGGAGATGGTGCGGAGATCCGTGGACATGAGGAGTGGAGCTGCCATCACCGTCCACAAGGCCATTTGAGAGCGGGACTGCTCATAGCTAAGGCCAAAGTTTCCGATGATGAGCTGGATGGGAGACGGGGAAAAGACAAGAGAGGCAGAAAAGGGTTAGAAACTAGTCTGCTTGCCATGCTCAGTGATGCTGCAGCTTGCTGGAGGGAAGCACGCACGGGAAACGTCACACTTGCGTTTGCTTTCCCTTGAGCAGCCTACGACTGCTGGGACATCCCACCTCTGCTAGGTGCTGAGCCATCAGCACACATTCAAACACACTCGCTAACACCCTTCACTTCCCCACTAGCCCCCCTCAGGCTGTGCAGGGAAGGACAGGGACACCAGGACAGGTATACTCGAGTGGTGAAGGGTTCGTTGCAACCACAGGCTTTTCCCACAGCGTAGCCAAGGGCAACACGAGCTTTGCCTCTCTGCAGCAAGAGAGCTCCTGCTCCTGGCACTCTTCCTTTGCCCTGCCCCTAGAAAGGGATCCCTGGAGAACCCCCAGCCCCGGCCAGGGTCAGCGCACCCACCACCCAGCCGCACCATGTCCGGGTCATTCCAGTGACCGGGGCCAGCCGCTGGCTGCAGCACGTCCTGGTTTGCAAAGAACCAGTCCAGGATAGAAAGCACGCTGTCCCAGGAGTCCTGGATGTCGTCGTAGTTACGCCACAGGTTGCAGACCTCTGCCAGGACAGTGTAGTTCACCTGGAGAGGAGCACAGGGTCAGGCAGGACAGAGAAAGGACATGGTCTGCAAGCTGGGGGAGAAGGGGCAGCCAGACTTGTTGAGAGCTGCAGCATCCAGATGTTTGGTTTTTGCAAAGCACAGGCATGTGTAGAAGGGCAACATCATGTTAATGAAGGACAGAGTCATATCCCAGTATGACTGCGCCCGGCCCAGTATGATAGGATGTCTGGCAAAACAGCCACAGAGGCCATTGGGAAATATGATCAGCTGCAAGACTGAGGGCAGCTCAGGATTGACTCAGAAGGTGGAACAGGAAATAAATAAACGCAATCAATTCTCGAGAAACATTACTAGGAGGAACTCACTATTTTAAGCACTTAAACCAGACAGGACCTGTCTCAGAAGAACAGACTGCCAGGATCAACCCCACACCAGCTGAGTGGGGTGGAGGGGGCATGCCCCGGGGCCTTCCTCCCCCCAAACTGCCATCACCTAGCCACGCTGGGAAGCCTAAGTGTCCCCAGATGCCTGGCAGGGAGGCCACATCCCCTCCGGGGACCTGCAGCCCCATCCTACCGTGGGCGGAGCGATAAGCAGGGTGTAACACCCAGCTCCTGCAGCTCCAAGAAGAGCTCCCCCAGGGCACAGGGGACAAGGGAAACAGCCACCAGACTGGACAACCCTCACCTTGGGGGGAAGCCCCCCCTGATATGCTGGCCAGCTGCAGGAGTAGACGATGGGGCGGCCTGTGGCGTTCAAGGCCCTCGCCATTTCTGGGTAGCCTTAGGGAGAGGAGAAGACAACCAGTAAAGGAGATGGCGGGCAGCAGCCTGTGTCTACAGCCTGCCTGGTCAGGGGAACCGCAGGCCAGCCTGGCCTCCTGCCTTACACCAGCTCTAGGGCACCAAACACCCTCCTCTTTGCCCAAGAGCTGCAACAGGAGATGCAAGGGAAGAACCAAAGCTGGCCAAGCGTTTCTGTGGACAGCCAGCCGCCCTGACTGAAGCAGCGAGGGGAGAAATGCCAGCCAGCCAGGGAGCCTTTACCCTTCGCCTGCTCCTCTCCCGATGAGTAGCACCCATCCAGCTTCAGCATGTCCACGCCCCACTCCGCAAAGGTCTGGGCATCCTGCTCCACGAGGTCCAGCGTGGTGCCGGGGTAGCCCCCGCAGGTGAGGGTGCCCAGGTCACCATAAATGCCCAGCTTCAGGCCCCGGGCGTGGACCTGCGAGGAGAGAAGAGCTGCAAGGAGGGGACGAGGGGGCCCGAGGTGCCTCCCGGGAACCAGGTGGCGTGGGAACATGGAGACCCCCCCACCATCCCCACCAGGCACTCACGTAGTCAGCCAGGGCCTTAATCCCCCTGGGAAACCTCTTGGGGTCGGGAACCAGCCGTCCTGCCGCGTCCCGCTGCTTGGCAGACCAGCAGTCGTCAATATTGATGTACTTGTAGCCCAGCTCCCTCCAGCCGTCCTCTGCCAGGCGGTCTGCCATCTCGAAGAAGAGGGTCTCGCTGCGGGTCAGGGGGACGGGGACACGGCAGGCTGAGCCCCTGCGACCTCTGTGCCCCACTGGCTGCAGGCGGTCTGCGGGACTTCAGGACTAATTGGGGGCTCTGGAGGGTTGGCCACCACAGGGCTGGCCTGGGCCATATGGGAGGGTTTCCAGGGCTCCCGTTTAAGCCCTATCCATGTCCCAGTCATTGATCTCACCCAGGGGAAGCGTTTCCCCGACACCCCGCAAAGCCTGGCCACATCCTTCAGCGCCAGGGGCTCTCCAGCCCCAGCACCGGGGAACCTGAGCCCCCCGCCTCCCACGCACCACGCTCCCCGAGATCCCACTGCTGCAGGGCTCGCCCCAAGGACCCAGACGGTGCCCGACCCGACCCGTTCATCCGCCCTCCCCTGCCCTGGCATCGCCCCATCCACCCGCTCGGGGCAGACCCCAGCCACCAGCCCGGCCTTTCCAAGCTGGTCCCCTCGGGCAGGGGGCACACAGGACAGGTCCTCCTTGCAGCGAAGGGGGGATGCCGAGCCCCGGGGGGTGCGTGGGGGTGTCCCCCCACCCCGCTGACCTGATGCAGTTGCGGGGGTCCTCCCGGCAGTCCACGTTGCAGCGGAACCTCTCCCAGGCCAGCCAGCCCATGGGGGGGGTGAGCGCCAGCCCGTTCTCCAG